TGGCAAGATGGCGGATGTTGTTATGTTAACATTTGTTTGTGTTGAATGCGTTATGTTACCAATAATCCAATGAGTTTTCTCTTAATTTTACCTCCGTCATGAGTATAGATTTAACAAAAGAAATTTGGTGACTTAGAGAGAGGATGGGGGCAAATGTTATAGGTTATACTATTGTGTGTTATAGAGTTATAAATTATAACTCTAGAGTAATCCAAATTCTTGAGAGCGAAAGGCTACTCGAAGAATATCGCGCGACTAGTGCGTGAGATGGGTTAGCGATTAACTGAACTTAACATAAGAGAACTATACCATTTATACACATGATTATGAGGTTGAACTATTGCGAGGTTACATCAAGCCTACTACATAAAACGGAGCTGTCTAGCTCCCCTACTGCTCGACCTGATGACGTAATTAATTTACCCTAAACCTAACCCTAAACCTAACCCTAACCCTAAACCTAAACCTAAACCTAAACCTAAACCGAAACCTAAACCTAAACCTAAACCTAAACCTAAACCTAAACCTAAACCTAAACCTAAACCTAAACCTAAACCTAACCCTAACCCTAACCCTAACCCTAACCCTTTACTCGAAATAATTTATCATGCTAATTTATGACTATTAATCATGCTAAATATGACTATCAGGTCGAGCAGTATGAAAACTAGACAATTCCACATAAATCACCATAGGCTTCAAGGTCCAAGAGGCCTTAAATTATGATAAATTTCATTTAGAGAATTTTATAAATGAACTTTACAAAATAATGTATACAAAATATTAAAATGATTTCAACGAATGCAAACACTTCTTGGCGGCCCTGAACATACCTGATGCACTATTAGCCAGAACTAGATACTCAATCAAACAATAGATGATGAAATCAAAACTGCTTGCAAAAGAAGGTATTAATTTTCAATTGCATGAAGGTTAGCCAGACTATTCATAGAATTTTGTCGAAAAAGTAGTTTTCAAATTCATTTTCTGTTGAAGAAGACCATAACACTGAGAAGAAGAATGAAAAAAGAAAAGATAAAAAACAATGAAAAAACTTCAGCTATTTTTTTATTGTTTTCTTAACAATTGAAGAAGATATAAATGATTAAATATGCAGATATTTTGAATGACTTGTAAAAATTTTAATTGCAAAACGTCTTGTATCACTGCCTAATTTGAGATATATCAATTGAAATAAGCATATTCTAGTATCTTTGTGGAAAAATGGTGCTGTTTGCATTAAAAGCAATAATAACGGGTCTGGTTAGTGAAGGTTTTTTAAAGTCCCCACCCAAAATATACCTTTTTCAACAAAATTAGCAGCTTTAAATTTTCGTTAAAATTAAATACGGCTTTTAGAGAATGTCACTCTTGACTGTGTCTCGGCTGACTGAACCTAAGTTTCTAAATCATTTAGCTTAATTATGGAAGTATAATTTTGCTAAATAGGAAAAAGTTGAGAAAAATATTTACATTATTATGACGTCACCATCGGTTTGATTGACATAAAAATTGTCAAATCGTCATTTTGGTAGAAGGAGATAATCTTTTAATAATCTTTAGCAATTTTCAATTGCCAATCAGAAGATAACAGGGGGGGGGGCTAAATAAGCTCAGAAATGCTTTGTTTAAACAGAGCTAAGCAAAGAGACAGAAAAGGTATTTTCGTAGATTTGTAGAAGAAATGGCACAAGACGATAGAGACAGTTTTTTCAAATATTTGGGCACCTGATCCTTCAATCATCCTCCCAAGGGATGAGAAAAACAATGACTCTTTCTAGAAAAACCCAAACATGACGGTCATGTGATCAGAAATTTGGAAGAATTCAATTCGAGGGGTGACTTTTGGAGCATCCTTAAGGTAAATTGACCCAGTGCTATCGTCTTAACTCAATACAAAAATGTTCGAATGAGATCATTTCCTTGAATTTACTTTGGCTAATGACTGTTCCATTTATTCAACAACAAGGGGACAAATAAAATTCTTAGTAGCTGAATTTTTTTAAAGTTCAAATCATTATGAGAGTAAAGGCCATTGATCATTTTAAGCCTTGGGAACATTCTGGCCAAGAAGTTGCGTTTCCGAAAACATGAAAAATGCACAGTCAGCAAAATTATGACAAAATTATGAAATATCTTGCAAAGTTTAGCAAAAGAGATCAATGGAGCATTGTGATATGACCTATAGGCAAAAATTTATGGCTGTTGAAACTTTTCGTTTTGTCAAACAACTTGCATTTTGACCTTTCATGATAGTACAAATGCATCGCAGTAGAATTGTACATGTTACGATAATAGCATAAAGTTTGGTTCATAATCCGATATGCAGAATAAGATGAAATCCATATCAAGTTTCAAAAAATGACCAGGACACTTATATTTTGGACTAGGGTATTGGCACCCAGGCCACTTATATTTAGAGCACTACAACGTTTTAACTTTGCAAGTTGTAAAACTGAAACTTTTTTCTGGCGTTAGTTGACGTGCTGAATAAAATGAGATGTAAGCTTTAAAAATTCAACAAAACCCATATTTGGACTACGGTATTTGTACCCAGTCCTATATTGGGTCTTGCACTATAACGTTCCATGGAAACAAACACCTTTAAATGTAAAAAAACCCACATATGTCAACTTTGTATTGTTATATCATGTTTTTTCAAGTTTCATCAAAATATCTCTTGTAGTTGTTTTTTCGTCAGTCTTACTTTCTAAAAGTAGTTTTTAGCATTTTCTGAGTACTGCCTCTTTAAGGGCATTGGAGAATTTCCTTGCGGAATTACGGTAATATGAAAATTTCCTTCCGGAACATTGTTAGTAGGAAAATTTTCTTGCAGGATAATTGTAATAAGAAAATTTTCTTGCAGGATTGCAGTAATATGAAAATTTCCTTGCGGAATTACGGTAATATGAAAATTTCCTTCCGGAACATTGGTAGTAGGAAAATTTTCTTGCAGGATAATTGTAATAAGAAAATTTTCTTGCAGGATTGCGGTAATATGAAAATTTTCTTGCGGAATTACGGTAATATGAAAATTTCCTTCCGGAACATTGTTAGTAGGAAAATTTTCTTGCAGGATAATTGTAATAAGAAAATTTTCTTGCAGGATTGCAGTAATATGAAAATTTCCTTGCGGAATTACGGTAATATGAAAATTTCCTTCCGGAACATTGGTAGTAGGAAAATTTTCTTGCAGGATAATTGTAATAAGAAAATTTTCTTGCAGGATTGCGGTAATATGAAAATTTTCTTGCGGAATTACGGTAATATGAAAATTTCCTTCCGGAACATTGTTAGTAGGAAAATTTTCTTGCAGGATAATTGTAATAAGAAAATTTTCTTGCAGGATTGCAGTAATATGAAAATTTTCTTGCGGAATTACGGTAATATGAAAATTTCCTTCCGGAACATTGGTAGTAGGAAAATTTTCTTGCAGGATAATTGTAATAAGAAAATTTTTCTGCAGGATTGCAGTAATATGAAAATTTTCTTGCGGAATTACGGTAATATGAAAATTTTTTTGCGGAATTACGGTAATATGAACATTTTCTTGCGGAATTACGGTAATAGGAAAATTTTCTTGCAGGATAATGGTATTGTGAAAATTTTATTGCAGGGTCATGGCAAAAGGAAAAATTTTTTGCGGAATTACGGTAATATGACAATTTTCTTGCGGAATTACGGTAATAGGAAAATTTTCTTGCAGGATAATGATATTGTGAAAATTTTATTGCAGGATTATAGTAATATGAAAATTTTCTTGCGGAATTACGGTAATATGAAAATTTTCTTGCAGGATTATACTAATATGAAAATTTTCTTGCAGGATTATACTAATATGAAAATTTTCTTGCAGGATTATAGTAATATGAAAATTTTCTTGCGGAATTACGGTAATAGGAAAATTTTCTTGCAGGATTATAATAATATGAAAATTTTCTTGCGGAATTACGGTAATATGAAAATTTGCTTGCATGATTATAGTAATATGAAAATTTTCTTGCGGAATTACGGTAATATGAAAATTTTCTTGCAGGATTATAGTAATATGAAAATTTTCTTGCGGAATTAAGGTAATATGAAAATTTTCTTGCAGGATTATAGTAATATGAAAATTTTCTTGCGGAATTACGGTAATATGAAAATTTTCTTGCAGGATTATGGCAATAGGGAAATTTTCTTGCCGAATTACGGTAATACGAGAATATTCTTTCGGAATTACAGTAAAAGGAAAATTTTCTAACGGAATCACGTTAATAGGAAAATCTCTTGCATGATTATGGTAATGTAATAAAGCTAACTTTTGCTTGATTTGATATGCGCCGCGCCTAAAGGTATACTTTGTTCTTATAAATTACTAGAATTTGCACGCAGTTACTTCGCATATTACGTTCAAGAATATTCCATTGCGTTCTATTATTACATCATCGTTTATATTTGGTATTATTTTTGCAGTGTAATCATGATATAGCAAAATCTATTGTCAGAGCACACACATATATTTATATAGCCCGTAGAAGGTAGAAGAGTTAGGAAGAGAGTTTTAGAGTTGTGTTTATTAACTGCTGTTGGTGCTTGAAAAAGATCTCAGTAGTGAGTAAGATTTGTTGTGTCGAAAATACATGTGAAAATGTCAATTGGTCGTCATTTCTCCGTCTTTCCGTAAAATTTTCTTGCCGAATAACGATATCTGATACCCCCACCCCCTGCCCCCCCTCCAAAGACCCACTTGACAGCTAGCCACTTGTCAGAGAAACTTGATCATTTGAATTTCACCTGAGCATTCCTTTCATGAAAAATATCATGGTTCTTGAAGTGCAAGCAAAATTTTCAAAACAAAAATAAGAATCTAAGGGGAATTAAAAACCTTTTGGCTTGCCTCTCCAAAATTTCAACATTGGAAAACTTTAAGATGCTTGTTACTCAAAATGTGCAATCCTTTAGTTCGTTTAGCTCGCATCAAGTACTTTTCTCAAAATCATGAAGCAAGTGATGAAACGTTGAATATTGGGTGCGCATTTGATGGACAAGCACTTCAATGTGACTGTGTAATTTGATCGCTCTCCGTGGCCTTGATGCTTCCACGTTGCATCGAGCATTCTTTCAGATAGATTCTATTGCCGCTCAATTTCTGTGTGAAATCGTCACAAAAGGGGGTGCTCCTTTCACAACCGATTGGTAATGGACGAAAACGGCCTGAAAGGGGACGGAAATTTCCCGGGGCAAAATGCGGAAGAAGCCTCAGTTGGAAAATGCCAAGGTGTTAAAAGTGAGCAAACCAAAATGGCAGATGAGCAATTGGCCGCTGGTGTTCCTGAACCTGAAAGTGATGTAAAGAAAAATCCTGCTGAAGATAAAGAAGATAGTATTTCCCAGGCAAGTAGCTCGGAAAATGAAAACGTCGAGATATGTCTTTTTTTAACTCGGACACGTATACCTATTTAATAGTCTGATGCGATGCTCATATAAGTGGCCTAGTAAAGCAGATCACACATTTCAGTGTAAACAAGGACAAGTTCAAAGATTTTGCTTGTTTTGTGAATGATTGTAAGATACCTAGCCAGTGGCTTTAGTTTGTCTATTTGGTAAGTAACTATAGCACTATATCAAATCTGATTGTCGATCTGCTACTGTGAGTGGAAATATGAAATGTTAAAAGAACCATGATAACTCTGAGATACTTGGTCCTAAGTTAATCTATTTGGAATCTGTCGGTTATTAAAGAAAAACAGATTTGTGGGACAAATATTTTTGACAGCTTTTCATTTGACCAAAGGTATGTTTTGAGACTGGTTCTTCAGATTTTCTAATAGTGTTTTGACTTTTCATTTGCTGTTACTGAAATCTTTAGTTTTGAAGGTGCACATTTGTAAATTTTCAACAGGACTGGTTTTTTTTAATTTCCTACTTTCAAAAATCTAAATTCCAGTAAATCTTAAATCAAAAGGTTCCAGGAAAGATAATTTCTTCAAGTCCCAATGAAGGAATTTTGTGCCTGTTATTGAGTTCAGTCTGATAAAGAAAAAGAAAAAAATGATTGTCAACTATGCAAATAGAAAGCAGCTAGATTTGAAAATAATCTTCTAAGTACATAGAATAGCAAAGACTGAATGCTGTTTGCAGAATCAACTTTTTTCATTTTATTTTTTTATGCCAAAACTAGACAAATTTATTTTGCATCAAATAAAAAGGCTCAAATTCTTATTTGTCAAGTTGACATGATGAAATAATTTTTCTGCAGCAAGGGCTGGTCTGCGTGAGGCACCTGGCAAGGAAAGTGATGGGGTGTGCAGAATACCTTTTTGCACCCAAGACCTGTCCCATAAAAAAGTGGCCAAAAGCATAATTTGTCCCTTTAAAAGAATGTCAAAAATACAGCACAATATATATAACAGATTCCATTATATTTACCACTAGCAATTATAACTGAAACATGCTCATTCAAAGAAAACTCTAAAAACAGTGTAAGCTGTGCCGGCAACTCATAATACCCTGTCCCATAATTTTGTCAAAAGGATACCCTGTCCTGTGGCACATCCCATCAGGTCAGGCATGTGAGTCCCCCCAGGGAGACTTGTACAGCTACAAGGGATTATAAGGATTGACACACTGTTTTGAAAAGATCTTAGTTTGTACTACCAACCACATTATTTTATCCTCCTTGTGTATAATTCAAACTTTGTTACTTATCAAGACTCGCAAATTAGGTTTTGCTAATATTAGGCTATCACAAAAATTGAGTCTCAGACCATTGTTATTAGGATAAAATTTATTTTCATCTGTGCTTGGGCAAATAACAATTAAATCTCCCAAAAACTCCAGTCCACCATCCTATCTCTCTGAAGATGTTCAAATGCCCTCATTGCCAAAAGGATGAGAGAATTGATTGAAACAAAGAATAAGATTATATGGAGAAATGCATTGTGCTTGTTGTCTTCTAGCTTCATTGATTTTTCATCTTTAATTTAAAGTTTAATACAAGCTGCATGGGAAACTGCATTTTGTAATTTTGAATTTGGCACAATGTATACACAATAACCTGGCAAACAAACAAATCACAATTGTATTATTGACAGAGAATGCTTTTGCATTACCCATGCTGTGTTACCATCTTACCAAAGCGTCTGATAAAGAAGTTTAAAATTTCCATATTATAGTTTGTTTTGGTTCTCAATAGTTTCAGCTCTCAATGAAAATCCCAATTTAATGCTGCCTGCTTTTATCATTTTCTACATCATGATCAATTTTTTTTTAAATTTGTTTATGAAGAAAACTGATAAAGTCTGTGATATCATTTATTTAAAAATTCCCAAGAATAGTTTTAAAAGTTTTTTAAGTCATGCCTTCACATTTAAAGTCAATGTAAACAATGAGACTGGTCTTCAGATAGGGCTCTGTCAATATTGAGCTTTTGTTGTCATTTACACAGAACAGGACCCTTTTCAGTCGAGACTGTTTGTTTAATAATGTTGTTAGTTACCGTATCTTGGTTAGATTTTAGACTTAACCTTACTCACGAGTGCTACAGCAGAATGAGGATATACGTAACAGAACGGGAATTAAGTACTAACAAAACACATGGGGGTACCCTACAATGTTTGTTTTCTGTTTTCTTCAATGGAAATGGATAGCTTTTATACCAAATTGACTTTGACCATACATTTTTGTCTGATATATCAATTATTGGACTTATGCAAGTATATCAGATGATGTGAGATTAACTGTATAACTCTGAAATTGATCAATTGAACAGGAACTTATAACCTACTGATTTTTAAGAGGTTTATTTAAGATGTTGAAAACCATTCAGAATCAAAGACCATCATAAGCCAATCATAGACCAAAGGGCCCAAATAAGCATTTGTCTATACCGGTGACTGGTGCGCATTACTAATATTAAGGATATTTACCACTAGTTTTGTTTATTCTTCTCAAAATGATCTTGAGGATTTAAAGTTCCTACAAATTTTCTTCGTAGTCGAGCCAAGAAAAGGATTTGAAAAGTACTGAAACTGAAATTACTCTGTCGAACAATGCAAATGAAGATGTTGACGCAACTAGCGCAAATGCAGATTTGGATACCAAAGATCAAACAGATGCAGCAGCAGGAGACCAAGTGGAGAAGGTAGAAAATGCTCAATGCAAGGAAGACAGTGTTGAAACACCAGCTAGAGAAATTGCCACGGAAGAACCATTGGCTAGTAAACCCGAGGAAGCTTGTGAAAGTACCAAAGATGAAGCTCCTCTAGTCAAGACAGAAGAAACCCCTACCGATACCCAAGATGAAGCCCCAAAAGTTACCCCAGAGGAAACTCCTGCTAGTTCGCAAGCTGAGGCCCCTGCAGTTACCTCAGAAGAAACCTCTATGGGTTCAAAAGATGAAGCTCCTTCGGTTATCAAAGATGAAGCTGAACCCCCTAAAGTTATCCAAGAAGGAACCCCTGCTAGTTCGCAAAGTGAAGTCCCTGCCGTTTCCCAAGAAGAAACTCCTGCCAGTACTCAAGATGCAGCCCCGTCAGATAGGCCAGAAGAAACCACTGCTGATAATCAAGATGAATCGTCTGTAGTTCCCCCAGAACAAGCGCCCACAGAGACTCAAAAAGATATCCCTGTCAGTACTGAAGCTGAATCTCCTACAGTTACCCCAGAAGAACCCCCTTCCAGTACTCAAGGAAAAGCCCCTGCAGTTGCCTCAGAAGAAGCCCCTGCAGCTGCCCTAGAAAATACTCCTGCAGTAGCCCCAGAAGAAACCCCTGCAGTTGCCCCAGAAAAAGGCCTTTCAGTTGCCTCAGAAGAAACCCCTGCAGTTGCCTCAGAAGAAGCCCCTGCAGTTGCCTCAGAAGAAGCCCCTGCAGTTGCCTCAGAAGAAGCCCCTGCAGCTGCCCTAGAAAATACTCCTGCAGTAGCCCCAGAAGAAACCCTTGCAGTTGCTTCAGAAGAAACCCCTGCAGTTGCCTCAGAAGAAGCCCCTGCAGCTGCCCCAGAAGAAGCCCCTGCAGCTGTCCCAGAAGAAGCTCCTGCAGCTGCCCCAGAAGAAGCCCCTGCAGCTGCCCCAGAAGAAGCCCCTGCAGTTGCCCCAGAAGAAGCCCCTGCAAGCTCCCTGCAAGATGGAACTGCTCCAGTTACTCCAGAAGAAGCATTGCAGCCAGAGGAAAGTAAACAAGCACAGCCTGCAGCTAAGCCTGCACCACCAAAAGTTCTTCCGAAGCCAAAAATTGAAGTCCCTGAAATAAAAATTGACTTATTTGTCAAGGTATATTTGTTCGTCTATTTATATCCTGTGGTTCTCGTTGATATTAAAAGTGTTGTTTTCAAATCACATTTCCCATGATTTCGAATATGTAAGTAAGCAAAAATACATAGAGTTTAAGATCACAATCTTTTAAATACGCGTTACAGTCAACCTCTTATATCCAAACCTATAAAACTCTGTCTGACCTTGCTGATCTATAGTGCTCTGTTGCTGTGATTTGAATCTCACTTAAGCGCTTCATGTCTGGATTTACTGCTCTTTTTGTTGGCGACCGTTTTAGTATCGTAGTCAAAGATGTCAAAATTTCATTTATTATCACAAAGACATAGATAAGTACTAAAACAGTTATGTTTTGAGAAATTTGAATTCCGTTTATTAATTTTTTTGTTCATATCTTTGCTTGATAACAATGATGCTCCAGTTTGATGCAATCTTTTTTCAACATAGGCTCATGCAAGATTTCCAAACAAGCTCGGTGATTGTCCTTTCTGTCATCGCATAATGATGATTTTAAAGCTAAAGAAAATCGGTGGTACTGTTTGCCCTGTGAATCTCAGCATTAAATCTAAAGAGTTTGAGGATTTTTGTGCAAGGAATGGCCTTCCAATGAAAGTTCCAATAATTCAGCATGGGGAGAATGTAATCGCCGATTCAAATGCAATTGCAGATTACTTGGATAAAATAAAGCCGAAGCCCAACCTCGTCAATAAAAGTAAGGCAACCAACGCTGCTGGTGACAAAGTATTTCTAAAGTTCTCCGCTTTTATCAAGAATAAAATCAAGGCAAACGACGAAAAATTGCAGCAAGGCTTGACTGATGAATTAGGTCGCCTCGACAACTTCTTATCTTTTTCACCTGGTATGTTTCTTGATGGTGATGACATACAGCACCCAGATTGCGTCTTGCTTCCTAAGCTGCACCATGTTCGAGTTGCTGCCAAATATTACAAGAAGTATGAAATCCCAGAGGCCTTCAAGCATTTACATGCGTATTTAGCCGCTGCCGATGTTCATCCTGCTTTTGCATCAACAGTGCCTCCTGATGATGCTGTTATCGAAGGCTGGAGAAAGCATGTCACGTGATTCTTTATTCTCCTTTTTCAACTTCCTAACTGCTGATTTTTTTGCGATGAATGTATGCTGCTCTCTAATATACCGTGCTATGATTTTATGTTCAGGGTTACAACATTCGTGATCCGGATGTTTAACATCCCGATGCATGACATACAATAGCCTATCAATCATTTTGTGTCCTGAAGCCGGGAGGTCGCTTTACCCGGTTATGATGAGAAATACAGCTTCCATTATTTACAAACTCAAGTGAAAATAAATAAAATACAATTTCAACAATACTGTTTGATAATTTTTGGCATATCAGTTTTGGATTTTTTGAGTTCTTAACTTCTCTAATGGTGGCCAAGTTTCTTGAGTTTTAAGATATTTGAAAACTGAGAAAAGTATCCTCGATGAGTCTGCCATGTTTTTTTTAAACCCCAGCAAGGTTTTCTCGGAAAATTCTCCTTCTTGTTACGTATCTTGCAACTAGCAAATGCTTATTACGCACATAAGCAATATTTGTCGTTTCAGGATAGATTTATGCAACTTCCAATTTTAAAATCATCGCTCTGAACATTTTTTTATCCCAGTTTCTGCCGCCGTCGTACATTGCATGCAAAATCCAGTGATAAACGTCTTTTTGAAGTACAAAATCATATCTTAACTGCAGTTGTTCAGCTATCAGTTAATTTTAGAATATAAGGTTCTTAGTAGATTTTGCCTGCTTATCACATACGTATATCTATTTCCTTACCGCTGCGATTGCTATAAAGATGGGTACTTTTATAAAATTGGTGTTGATTTTGTATATTCATATTGAATGTAATTAGCTGAAAAATCTTTCTAAATTAGTACGAATTGATTGGTTAAAGATTAGTATGCAATAAAGAATTATGGGTTTTGAAGGGTAAAATTACATTGTCATTTTTCTTTCGTTCTAACTCTTATGCGAACGGGAAATGAGATTGGTCACAAAACCTCCCTTTAGACTGTCTCAGTTTGAAAAATTTTCACGTCAAATTTTTGTTTCCAGTCTCGATTTTATCGCTTCAAAATTTGATTGACACTGAACAACGAAATATTTTCACAATTCGATTGGCACTACTTCGTGTTTTTCTTTTTTTTTGTTAAAACCGAATCACTTAACATAACTACATCTTCAACGTATTACCACTGGTTTCATCTTCAACGTTTCCAAAGAATCATATTATTGTGCTTGTCGTCACTGTCATTTTGATACTGCTATCGAAATACTTGTCTCTAAATTTACTGCTATTAGATCAATTAGCATTTTGATTCCGTCTTGTTTCCCTTCTATGTTTAAATCGACACCTACAAGCACTGCCAAAATTACTTGGAACACCTAACAGTTTGCGCTCTGCTTTTCTATTTTCCATTTATTTTCTTGAATACTACCACTTCCGCCCTCTTTCCCCCCAAGACAATGTTGAAAGTATAGAAAAATATCAAACAATTCACAAGAAAAAGTGTACTCCATAACCCCTTTCTTTTTTCTTTAGTAAATCAACATTGTTCCTAGGGGGAGAGGGGGATGGCTGAATTTGCCTTTGAAAACCTACGTTAGTGTTCCAAGACTTTTGGCAGTGATTGTAGGACGATTTTCAGCTTTCTATTTAGATGGTATATTCTAGGTTCCTCGATGCTCGATGAAAGGGACATCGTTTTGAAAAAATCATGGAAGGCAGTAATAGATGAAGAAGAGAGAGATAATGACTCAATATAGTGGACCTGTAGTTATAGATTTTTGGTGATCTGTTATTCGATTCGTCTTTATACAGCAAAGCTGAGCACTGTTGAAATGAAATGCTTAGGGCACTCTTTGATGTAAAAAGTCACCAAGCTTGCTCTTGATTAAAAAAAATTTATCTATCTATCCTTAGTGATTTATCTGTTTATCTATAGTTTCCAGGAACCCAGCGGGATATTTCACACGATTTGTCTGTTATTAGTTACTATTGTCAGCAACTTGAAAAATTGCGCATAATCTTTATAAGATGATACATTTACTTTTACTGAAACCAATGACGGATTTACCGGGGCTGTACGGAGTGTGACACCCCCCCCCCAATATTTCTGTGTCCTTCGGCAAGTTTTGCTTCAATTCTGTAAAAACAGTTTTGTTAGTCAGTAGTAATCAAATAGCGCCAAGATTATACTTTATTAATCTTCTTGTCTTCGTTACTTTAATGTTTTAATCTTAAGAATGGATGCTTCCATCATTTTCCAGTGACCTTAAATGTTGGGCACTAAAATTCAATTATTATCCAACACCCCTCCCCTCCCCCTCCTTGCTTCGTGTTCGGGAAAGTTTACTATCAATTCAGTTCAATCGACATTTCCAGCAAATGAAGTACTTCATGTTTCTTTGTTCCAATCTTTGTTTAGGTGATAGTTCAAGTCGATTTTCTGTTCCAAACGTACCAAATGGCAGTCAGGTGATAAGCTAGAGAATTTATCGCAATTATATGATGTATTATCGTATCTTGGTGATGATTTTGGTTTACTGTAGTTACAATGGCGCTGTTTGCAAAGATGTAGGAAATGAGCACAGAGATGAAGGTTTAATTGTCCACCTAAGTAGGACTCAGTCAGGGGTCCTGAAATTGGCAGTGGACCAGACTTCCAAGGAATTCTCCCTGAAAACATCGTATGGATCGATTTTAGCGAAAAGTTTATCGGATGTTAACTTCGCTTCAAAAAATATATTCGAGTCACTCGTTCAAGCTGATGGCCCATCAAAGACCGGTGAATGGCCTAGCTCTCCTGCTTCTTCTGCTTCATCAGAGACGAAATTTTCTCTGCATTCAAACTTAGTTAAAACTATTACCAAACCGAGCAGCATTGTCAGTGAAAATTTTGCAAGCCATTCTGCTAAATCATCTGGTAGCATATATCAAGTCAATACTTTTGAAAGTCGGTCGACAGTAAGTCAAAATAAGAGAACTTTGAACTTGGAAAATTTGCCAGCAGTTAAACCGAGTCAATCCTCAGCAGTTACTCTTTACTCGTCATTATTTACTAGAAGGAATCTCACAATGAGTAATGGGAGCAGCTCAAATATGCTTTCAACCAGCATGTTACCACTTCAGACTCAAAGCAGTGTACATAATATGGCAAACACGAGCACTTTTGCTACAAGTTCCACCTCTCCATTAACATCTCTTTCAGGAACTGTTCAAAGCACTTTTGTTTCCCTTTCACCTGTTAGTTCTGCATACAACCCTTCAAGCATGTACATGTCACCTGTTCCATCAAGAAACTGCTCTACCTATACAGTTTGTTCTTGGGGCACGATGGTTACAGCTGCAGTTGGGTCATCATTTTTGCCAACACCTTTGTCATCAACTGCAATGTCACAATCACTAACTATATCTCCTGATCTAGATTCAACATCAGTGGCAATTACCACCTTTATTTCAGTGATACCCTCATCTGCATGGGCACCAATTGTTACCCCATCTTATTCTGTAGTTAGCAATCAAAGTGATATTCAACCCATTGCGAAAGAAGGCTGTGATGTTGTCTTAGATGGACTCGCAACAGTCATGGGAAAGATGACATCTTGCATCATAAGCAGTTTAAGGCCTTTACAGATTTGTGAAAAATGTACACATTTACATTCAGATTTGAAAAGGTATCAACTTTTGATATCAAAAGCTGATGGCTGCAATCAAAAGCTCATTATGGAATACAATGCCCAGTATCAGGCTATTCCAAAAATATTCAAAATTCAATATGACATGTGGCGAAACTTTGAATGTGAAAGTAAGTTTTTTTGAATTGCTGATGACCTGGTCTTGTTATACTGTTGCATAACTTTACGAAATGATATTGTTTGGTGAAGTATTTCCTCGTGCAAATATTGATATCAGGACTTTATATGAGTGGCATGTTATGAAATTGGATCATGACTTCACAAACATACCTTGATTATAGATGTTTGCAAATTTAATTAAAGCTTGGCTATTGAGCAGTCTCACACAAAACAATATTCTGAGTGATCTTTTTTAATACTTTACCCCCAAAGAAGACATGCCACAACATTGTGTTGCCATTGCCTCACAGCATTTAGCTGACTGACTTTTTCATTAGATCATATATATTTAGAATCAGTGGTGGACACCTGAGGGGCGAGAAGGGCTGTCACCCCAAATATTTTGGAGGACAATGATCTTTTGTTCTGAAACAATGGGAAAATGTGACATCATCTTATCACAGCAACACGCTTGCCCCCTCCCCCAATATTTGACCAAATGTCTGTCCCTGTTTAGAATTTTAGGACACTACAAATGTGTATAATTGATTAATGTTATTAGTATATATAACAATGAGAGGCATCAATGGTGAGAACACAATTGACAGGCATTAATAAACAGTAACTGCAGCCTTTTGGTTTGGTTTGATATTTCTTGATTGTTTCACAGGATTTGTCCTTTGTTCAACAACTTATTTGGAAGTCTGATGGGCAATTTTCAGTATTTGTTTTGTTTTATAGTGTTTCATTTAAACCTGATCCTTGTGTATGGCATTATGAACCTTGATGTTTTATTCATGCAAATGAAGTATTAACTGCAAACATTGACTCCATAACTGAAACACTCAAGTTCACTAATAATACCACAGAATTCTGAGAATAAGAATACAACTTTTATGCACCTAGTTATTGTGTCATGCAGTAACCACATGAGCCGCTCTTTTTATATTTGTTGTCCTGACCAACTAATGATCCAAGATTAACTAAAAGCTAAATTTTACTTATTGATTAAGGCATTTTTCAGAAAAATAAATCACACCTCTAATAAACTCCATAAATTTTCCAATTAAGGTAAATTAATGTGATTTAGATAACCAACACTTTAGAGCATGTGTTGAACATTATTTTTCAGAACAATTGAGCAGTTTCACTTGTTACAACTGGTTCTCTGCATAATTTTGCTGTTTGCCAGATATTTAAGGAAGTTTTTTGGTTTTTCATTTATCCATCCCTCATATAATGAAGCATTCTTCCCAGCATGGCTGGATAAATTAAGATGCATGGAAGGCAGCATGGAGCACGGAGGGCAATCCACTTCTGTAATAGGCCATTTATAAAATAATTCCCAGCTTTTGCTAATTCTTTCCTATTTGTCACTTTATTTTGAACCTTCGTAGGCATCTTAAAAATGGGCTAGCTTCTGGAAAAAAAATTTTATAAGAAATGTCATCATGAATAATGCACTACGGATCTCTCTGACAATTACAAAAGGCTGTTGGGTCATTCCATTTCAAAATGGGACAAATTTCTTCATTTTGTTACCCAAAGTCTCAGAATTTGCTAATATTTTGTGGAGAAGTGGATAATCATGAGATAAACACACATACAAAATTTTACTTCAATATCTTTTATTGTTCTAAAAAAATAGAGCAATTTGAATTTTTGCTGAATCTCAGCATTTTCTCCAATGTCCGCCATTTTGACTTAACCCAGAGGTTAAATATACTAAATAAATGCCTTTAACTAGCATCTTAATGTCAAAATAATGTTTATGACTGATTTATGTATCAGGATTTCAAAAAAAGTTATAAAAAGTTTGTGAGACACACCCACAGTCTGTAATTAACTAATTAATGAAGAGTGTTTGTTGTCATAACATCGAGTTATCAAGATGTCATGCAAATTTTTGTCATGTTGCCCACCTGTGATAAATTTCAATTTTTCTAAGTACGAAGCTATAGTCATAAGTAACTCTTTTACAAAAAATTAGCAGGACGAAAATACAGCCCTAGAAGTACTAGGTGCTTTAAATGCCTCTTTCGTCTTCCTCGCCCGTTTAAAAATTAGCAAATAGCCAATTTGAAAAAATTCTGAAAAATCCGTAAAAGCAGGGACTGATCTGTGTGTGTTACAATTTATCAGCACACTGCTAGAATATAAATCAGTTTGGGACATGGGTGTGGGCTAAGGGTGTGGCATGTATGCTGAAAGGTTGTAAGGGGATTGAGGGCTGTAAAACATAAACTGATAGGGAGCTGAGGTCTGTTCTCTGTAAAATCTCTAAGTCTAGTAGATATTTTAGAATAGTTATATCAAGTTGCCTTTCATGGTTAACTTGTTAACTTGCTGCAACTAGATTCAGTTGCATACCAGAATAATCATATTTCGTGGTTACGTTTTTCTGAATGAAACCTCTCCTTCACTTATCTTTAAAACGGAAACAAAACATGCTGAGCTGGATGCAGCAAACAAGTGACCCTGATAGAGAATCCTGATCTCCGTCAACACCAACAGGCCAGATTCCTGATTTCCCTATTACACCATTGTGTTACATTCTTGATTTCCCTAAAACACCAACATGGTAGACTCCTGATTTCCCTTTGTGTATTGTACAGCTTTTCCATGAAATCTTTCTAAGGGTCAATTCATAAGTTCAGCTCAGTTGTGATCCCAGCTATTTCAGTTGCCATTCATTTCCTTTATTAACATTTTCTTATAACTGAAAGAGTAGTGGGATTCAGCTTAAAATTCGTTTGAATGCAAAATTAGCTGTTTGAAAGGGGAAATTTTTTGCAAAGGACTGCCATCAGAATACTTTCTTTGTGGCAACACATTAATCACTTAATCCAAATAGTAAAAGAAAAATGGCATCAAACGAGCAAAAATGTACTGTATCTAAACCTTAATTATTACTTTTTAGAGTGCTATAAAGAGAGAACTGACAGTGATCCAAAGGCTCCATGGATACCAAAGGAAGAATTTATTAAGACAAAGAGTTTGGTGAAGGAAATGATGGTTTGCTTTGCCAATTACTCCAATGAAGAGGTGAGAAATAAATTAAAGTTAGATGAAGTATAAAAACTGCAATTATGGCAAGCTTAAATTAAATGAAATCAGGTTAAAGAGATAACTAAAAACTAAACTAAAGACGAAAAATTCTTAATGGGTAGTTAATTTGATTATTTTATTTGCAGAAACGGTTTGGTGTTTAACTTGGTAAGTAACGTGCGGTGTTACTGTTTAAAAGAAGCATTTCATTTCAGATTGACCTACCTTTTCCAGTAATGTTAAATGTAACAGAAGAAAGCAATGGAACATCCTGGAAGACGAAAGAAAACCTGTGTAGCAATTGCCGCCATGCTTACAAGAAACTGAAGAAATATATGAAATCAATCCATTTTGAAGGCAGTGCAGAGAAGCGATGGTGTGCTGACATGGTTTATGCAGTGAGTGTCATTCTTTATGCGTAGATGCAGCAAAATTCTCTATTTCTCCAAACATTTGAAGTAGCACTCTCTGTAATGGTTTTCTTTTTTTCTTTCAAACCATCCTGGTACCTAAGGTGATGATCAATGAATTCTTATTTATTTGTATTTACTGAAGGAAGATCTATTGTGCTATTATGACCTTTTTTGAATTAACTTTTCAAATACCATGTACGTGTGTAGGTAACATATACATCAGTATGTAACGAGGATGGCTCAGTGTTTAGGGTCGCCGACTACAGATCCGAGGGTCCGTGGCTCGAGTCCCTGACATGAACAAACCACGGTCGCCAGCTCTCTGTAATTCCAGGCGCAGCGTCGCGGTGTGTAGTCACATCGAGAGATAGGACCGCTAAGGTGACACTGCTCGAAAAGCACAGCTTCTTAGTGTTCTAGAGCTACCTTCAGCTGCTATGAAGCAAATACAAATTCAAAAGAATACATCCCTGTGAATATTCTTGCGTAATGCGTAGCTAGCACAGCAAATTTCCTGTTTGCTTGGCAAGCAATTCCTGAAGAAAATGAATGTCTAAGATCCCTAAAAATACGCTGAAGCGGTTTATTTACAGAAAGAATTTCATAATGTAAACTTTTTGAACTAGTGTATTCATCCTCACAATATAACCATAATCGTTTTCTGGGAATTTTCCTTTGATCTCATGAAACCTTTTATGTAGGTACGCCTCTGGACAAGATAGAAATCGGAACACTTTCCAATGCTGTTTTTCACACACCTAATTTCTTCCAGGGCAGATTTTTTACACGGTCACCAACTTCTTCATAAAATCTCATTTGTCGTATCCAAGTATCAGAGTTAAGTGGTTAGTAAAAACGTATTTCTTAATATGTTATATATTTTCTTGGCTGATATGAAAACGAGCTTTAATTTAGAAAAATTTATTAGTAATGAACAAGAAAATAATAACGACCAATTGATATTCTAGTTCAACGAGACCCGACGACTATGGGGAAAATTCTGTCTCTCACCAGATGAAGATCAAGAACCAATCATTGCCCTGACTTGCTTCTTTTGCTTTCTGCCAGTTGTTTTTTATGTTGGCACCAAATTACACTCAGATGTTAAAGAACGTAAAAACGGTAAAGTATGATTTGTTTACAGTTTATCTGGAAATGTACTGTTTTGTGACAGGGTATTTTTCAGTACCACTCGCCTTCATACATCTGCTCAAACCAGGACACACAGACTTTTTTTCTTAAAAACCTGCCAGTATTGATAAATGGTTCATTTAAAGGTATAACGGTACCCTTAGATTTGTACTTTCAGCAGTAACACCACGTATGTTCGATGCTTAGCTGTGTGAAGCAACAATTTTATGCTGCAGCTCTGGGTTCACGCTTTATGCTATAATCAGACAATTGTTGATTAGCAGTAAGCGTACAACTGTCTACACAAATGTTCTACATCAAAATGTGAACAGCTCTGTCTGCATGCCCTCGATCACTGTATAACTGACCTGTAATCAATATAACATATCTTATTTAATTTTAAAGGATCTGAGGCATTTTAATTTATGTCGCTCCTGCAGGTAACCAGTTTCTATCATAGATCTTTGGTTTTTCTAGACCACTGTGGTTGTCATTTCAGTGTGTATATGATTCCCTTTTCAGAATCGAGAGTGAATTATGAATCGGACTGAAGTTGAAAAGGTAAGGGTTTCCTTAAGATACAAATTGTTATTTTGTTGTAAGGATTTCTTAGTCATCGGATTAAGAATGCTATTATTGTTTGTTTGTTGTGTACCGTTTACCAAGAGATGCCTACCCGAAAAAATAAAGTCTAGGCCCCGAGCTCATAATGTGAAATGGAGTGAAAAGCCCTCGGTTACATCTATCAATATAAAGTATTTGCTCCCTTAAAAGAGGTTATATAATATGGTCCTGGCCAGGAAAGCCAGGCCTGGCAGGCTTTCTTCTCGCCCAGAAACGTATGCAGCCAAACAAACGTCTTACTGTCATTTAGCTTGAATAAATCCCTAACATCCCCCGTTCAATTACCAAAGGTTCCCTCGTTTTACTTAAGTAAATTCAAAACTTTGTGATTCAACCAAATGATGTTTTGTTACTGCTGCTTTGAACCTCCACCTCTATACAACAGACAGCACTTGTCTGGTCTTAACTCGGAGGCCCAACTTTACTATACTAGACAAAAACAAAAAGGGGAAAGAGTGAGTAACTATTATTGATACATGATTATAAACCCCGTGGAATATGTTGGTTTGGCCTACAATCCTTCACAAAACATATTGAGACCAGTGATGAAATCATACAAAATTTATTGGCAACAATTAATAACATTAATATTCGATCCTCTTCCTTCTTCAAGCAATATTGTAGTGACGTTGTTAATGCACACGATGTTGAAATTCAGGATTTGCGACAACCATCGCCAAGTGTTACTTAACAACATTGTCTTGAGGGGGAAAAGGACAGTGGGAGGGAGGGAGGGAGGGAGGGAGAGAGGGAGGGAGAGAGTGAAAGTTGTCTGTTTGTATCTTAAGTTAAAACTGCGAAGAGGTTAGCTTCGGTACTTTTTCTTGGATGGCTCTCTGTATTATACACCAGAAATATTTTGGCGTTGTTTTTAGTTCGAATAAAGAGCTGTCTCAATCCTTTTTTGAACGATTGTAGACTGTATACTGTTTATCCTCTTTGAAACAAAAACTAATCCGCTAAAGTTTTTGTTTTCATCATGGTACTTACTTAACGTTCAATTTGTTTTTTAAGCTAGATTTTAAAATTTTTTTCAATTTTAGAAAATTGCTGGCGATGACGAAACAAAGCTCGTTTCCAACCATGAAATCCATGATCGTCATTAAATGAAACATACATCTTTTGACAGTTTTGGTTCTTGCAGAAAATCGCATAATTTTACATGCCGATTTTATGATATCTCATACCATCGTAGGAGGCGTAAATCAGTACTAAGTTTTATTTCCCATTAAGAAGTTACAGTAAAAACCCGCACATAAGAACGTAAAATTTCGAATTCAGCCTGTTTAGGTTCCTATGCTATGAGGTACATCCCACAATCAGGGTGTAGGTTCTTTACATAGGGTCCAAAAAATGCCAAAAAACAAGAATAGTAGAAGGTTTAGCATTGACGCGTCCTTTAGCCGTTGGGACTGAATTTTCTCATATCCTAGCTCATCCATAGTCAGACAACCAGTTTTTTTCAAAAACCCCGGTGCAAAATTCTTTAACTTCCCTTAGGTCCCGCCATTTTTAAGCAGTCCATTTAGTCATATATAATCTTCCCATCCTAGCTGAAATTTTATCATGCCAGAACTCAAAATTGGCATCATTCTCAAGCCATCTCTCCATTACCTATCCTTTTCGGCCTGCGTCGATGGGTTGCGCTTTGTAAGGATGGTTTGTTTAAGAACCTGGTTGAAATATCAGGCTGAAACGATTCTTATTTACTGGCATGTTACAAAATATGTACTTTCAAGCTGTAGGTTCTTAATAAATGAAGGTTCTTATGTCTGCTTTTTTACTGTACTTAAAAATTAAGCCGATGGTTGTTTTGATTTTAGTATGCAATCAAATTTTAGTCAAAAACTTTGCATCTCAGCTTATTCGTAAATAATTTAATTTGATAAAAACAATTTTTGTGTTTTACGATATTTTCAAGTATTTTTTGTATTATTGGGTTGCTAGTAACTTAATGTCATTCGACCAACTAACGTAAAACTACTTTTTCTGAAAAGGGTTTTACAAATACTTGATAAGAAAACAGTTTTGCTTTAAGATGCATTTTTACTTGTGCCAAGAATATTGATGCTGTTTGACCAAGAACATCAATAAAAATTCGTATATAAATGAATATAAATGAAGCTGAAATCGATAAATACTGACGTGTTTGGAAATTTTAGTAAATATAAAAGAGGATCAATCAAAATTCGTAGCTTTTTCAGCTTTTTTCGTCAGGATGATCTTTTCTCTTTCTTAGTATCTTTATTTTCGAACATTGACATCATTTTTGGTAGCTCATTCAAGCAATAAACCTCCCGAAGCAATCTCTGTAAGAAACTGCGAGTTCCAATTTGCTCTCGTAAACAAATTTACTTTATATATTAGCTGATATTCAAAACTACAAGGAGAAAGAGCATCTATGCTGATAGCCGAAGTAATTTTAATCTTCCCTTCGTTTATCTTTGGAAATTATTTTATTTTTAAACTAAAGAATCACTTTTTAAATTCATTTAGTTAGTATGGAAAAAAGTCGATTCATCATGTTTTTGCTACGATTGCCGCAACTATAGCTAAGCAAGTATTCTTGATTAAACAATACGTCACACTTTGTATGTGATGCATTCTGTTTGCATAGTTGCAAAGCGTTGGTAAAAACTTCGTTTTTCTGACAATTAATGAAAAACATAGCGAGAAATCAAAATAATTACTTTTAGTTGATCAATTATTGAATAAATTCTTTTATATTTGAGTGACTCTCTATTTTCTTTGCATTTTTTTCTTGGTTTTCTCCTAGCTTTGTTTACTTAACTTTTCGAATTAAAGACAATTTGTTTGCACGAGGAACAAATGCCGATGCCGCACGAGAAAGTCTTAGAAAGGGAGAACTATGGAGAAACGATGAAGTGGAGAACGTGGGACAAAGCTCTGTATTTTTCGTTGGAGAGAGAGGATTCTGGGATATTTAGCCCCTGGTCAGATGACTCAGCCCTTTGGTTAGGGAATTTTCTTTGTCACTAAGTGGCGTAACGGAGACAACTATGGTCCTTCATAATTTTTCAATGTCGGACCCTCATGTTATTAAGCATTGACAATGTATAAAAAAAACAAAAAAAGCCATATCTAAATTGAACCTGTGAAGCTCATTTGCATATTTTAGTGACGACAATAGTGCACAAAACTGAATTGCAATGAAAGGATGCGTACGTTCCCGTTACCTTTTGAAAGCTCCATTCGCACTTTATGTTCTCGAGGTCACAATACAGTAACCCTCGCTTTCAGTCTATCCGCTTAAAGTCACACTACCGGTTACAGTCACGTAAAATTCAGACCCAAATTCGCAAAACTATAAAATATTGTTCCGTTAACAGTCACTACGCTCACTGTTATAAAATTTCAAGCAAATTTTGGTGTCTTTTGTAACAGTGTTTGGTTTGGGTGTCTTTTCGCAACAAAGCTCACTGTGAACAAATTTATGTTGATAATTAAAAAGTGATAAATCGTCGATTTTTTTTGAACGGTCTGCTATATGGTTGAAAATAGACCCTAGTTTTGTATTTAAAAGGTGTAATCAGTGGTGGCGCTTGGGGAGGTATAGGGGGCTACAGCCCCTTCGTCGGAAGCACCTAGCCCCCCCCCCCCTCTGCTCCAATCCCTCTATCGGAAGATTTCTGGCGCCACCTCTGGGTGTAGTCTGGGTAATTAGTGGCAATCGGGTTGAACTTTGACACTAAAAAAAGAAAAAATAACCAAACTGATTGAACACAAAACTTTCATGGACAAAAAAGTTAGTAAACTGGGCTGCAAAAAAAACGAAGCTGTAAAAAGCCAACGAGATTATCAAGTGTCAAAGTGTTTGAAATAAATATTTGAACAAATATTCATTCTTCTCACTTTCTTGTTCGCTGGCTCCTAGATTTTTTGTACTGTCCGTTAATTGGAAAGAAAAAAGCCAAATTGACTATTTTGTACAAACAATATTGTCCTTAAATCAGAGTGTCCGCTAATTATCTTTCCTCTTTTTAGAAAGTTTTTTATGAGACTTTGACCAGAAAACGATCGGGGAAAAAATTTGTGAGATGTCCACCTTTTAAGGTGTCCGTTAATTGGAGAGAGTACTGTAGAAGGTAGGAGCGGGAAGCGGAGGCGCTCATCCATTCCCCTCTCCTATCGTCTTTTACTGTGCCCGAATTTATTTGGCTTTTGTACCAAGGATCAAAGACCGAGATACAACTTTTTGCTTGGGGGGCAGCTCTGAATTGGGGGGAGCGACCTCTACTTTCAAGTTAGGGATCTGGAGCACGGGCTAGCCGAGGTTGGCATTACACTGTTTTTTTCTTATTGTTTTTCATGGCTGTGCTTGTTTTTTTCTTTGTTTCAAATAAACATCTAATAAACAAATAATTTGCTTTCTTTTTCATTCTAGTAATATTTTTTCAAAAACGCCAATCAGCTTTTAATTTTACAAGTCTACATTTTTAAAGATATTGGTTAATTTTCCCTGAAAACTTTCGGGAAATAAGTTATGCATCAGTTGCGGATCCAGACTACCGCCATTACTAGACAGCGCAGCGCAGATAGTCTAACAATCTAACAACAAACATGCTAGCTTTTGTTATCTCAACAGATCCCGTCAAACTAAGCTCTAAGCTTGAAAATTGCTCTTTGTTACCTTTTAGAAAATCTTTTGTTGTCACGTGATCGGAGAGACGTCATTTCTGGTATAATTTCGATGTTTTGACGGTCATAACTCGATATATATTCGTCAACTGCAACATAACTTACATACAATGCAAGGTCTATTTGCATATAATGCAAGATTTACTTGCATATATAATGCAAGTTCTCAAAGAGCCCATTCGATTGATAAGTACATATTTAACTTGCCCCCCCCCCACCCATTTTCCAATTTGCGTCCCTGCGAGAACAAAAAAGTTTTAATTATTTTTCAAAACGAGGCCGTAATTGTGATTAAATATGGAGAGTTGTTGAGTGAGGGGAAGAGTCAATAAATATCATTTTTTTAACTTGGATTTCACAATGGATGAGGTCGAGAGAATATCAACTATTGACTTTGAAGACTCAGTGAACGTGCAGATTAACCACCCCTCATCAAGTGAGAGCAAGGAGACTCCCCAAAAATGCGAGGCAAAACAAGAGATAACTTCCTCCTCGTGTCCTGTTGAAGGCGTAACTGTATTTCTTGACAGGGCAGAAGTCAGAAGGTTAATAAAAGCAAGCCTTGTTGTTGGTGAAAATGAAGTCCTCGTCACGGGACTGCCGTCATGCATGGACGAGGACTCGATTAGGTAATTTTTACTTTGTTTGTTAAGTTTTTCCTATAAAGACGATGTTGATTGAATAGTGGCTTTCTTGTCAATTGTCAGACAAAGACCACTGGACAACAGAGAGAATAGCGTGACTGGTGTCTTTCATAATGTGCTTCTTTGTTTGCTGCTGCTTAGAAAGTTTTACAATTTTTTGGCATACTTTTAACACATTTCACCAATGCCATTCTTGAAATGGAAGTCAATACTTTATGGGGCCCCCAAGACCTCAAGTGCCTGAAGAAATTGGTCTCCCTTGCCCCCTTTTGGCTGCCCTTATTATACCACCCCAAATCAAAATATGAAGCCACAACCCTGATATTCAAGCAGCCTTCAATCTTTCCCTTGAAAAATAGTGACTTTTTAGTCATCCATCGTAATAATTTTTGGCAATATTAAATTATATCTCTCACAAACCATGACAAACAATCCTTTCTCAATTGGTCTCATCTGTATAACTCTATGTAGATAATCATAATTATGTTATTTCACATAACTATCAAGTCACTTTCACTGTAGAAAATTTGTGTTCTGTACATTAATTTTGCTTCAAAGCAAAAATCATAGGGAACAATACTCAAATAGACAGTGGATGAGAACAAGTATTTCTGTAAACTATAATTTTTATAAGTTAAACTTCCTAAAATTAGGCCTTCATCGGAAATGCGTGTGCGATCGCACACACACACCCTAGCGCACGCCCTAGCGCATGCCCTAGCGCACGCCTACCGCCTTTCGAGGAGTGCAAAATATCACACGCCCTCTTTAATTCTGAGAATTAATTCAAAATCCTTTATTAATGTTTTGTTTTGTTCAGGATTCCACTGCTGATAATATTGAAATTCCACTGCTGATAATCTACATTGGAATCCCAATAATATGAAACCCGGCGATAACTAATTTTACGGTATAATAAAAACATGTCTTCAGCTTGGATTCTTCCAAATCCCGTACAAAATTTCCTCAGTATAACAAATCTTATAAATAACGAACTCTCGAACAAACCAAATTGTATGTCCCTTCATCATGATTTTCCTAGATATGACGAATTTTTCTATAAATTGTCACTGTTATTTTGGTCTACTTTTCCCCCCGTTGTATATTTATCACTATTACTTGGGGGAGGGAGGGACTTACTTTTTGTTGGCAAAACAGACATTTGCAAACATGCGCTTTTTATGATGCAAAAAATGGAGAAGAGATTTGTGTAAATGTTTACACCTTTTCAAGGCTTCATGGCATTTCAGTGAACAAATCCAAATATACAAGACTAAAACAGACATTTTTGTCTCCGAATTTTATAAAGAACATTAAGTGTTGTGAACAAGATTTCAATTTTCGATTGCTAATTCAGCAAAAGAATGAAAAATGGCCCATCATTATCTTTTATGTGGGAATAAAGGAGAGGCCACGATAGCAGGCTGCTCGACGGACCCCGGAGGAAATCTTGCGGTGAAAAATCGATAGAATAGTAGTATATCACAACGCAACGCAAATCAGTGATGGCTAATATTTCGCCCCTAATTATCTTTTATCTTTTATGCATTATCTTTATGGATTATCAACATCTGGCCAATGAGGTAAATAAGAGAGCTGTGACGCTTGATAACCCAGGTCCCGCGAGGGCACAAATTTACACACAAAACGGTCATTATAATCAGATGAATGACCCTACTGACTCTGCTAAGGATATATTATCGAAACTGATGAAAACTATGTAGAAACTTGCTCAGCGAAATAAGTTTCATCAAGATTATTGGTGTCATTATTG